AATTAAATAAGTCATTTAATTTCGCAAATCATTTAACCAATCAGTTAATGTCATCTAGACTGGGGATGCAATCTCACTGGAGCTACATAGCATTATTGAACTTAAACAAGATGGACCCTCAAAGTCGTTGACTTGTAGCTTTTAAACCATTTTCACACCATTTTCTTTTAGAACTTAAATCGATATTTTATATATATTGATTGGTGATTTAGTATTGTGATTTGTGAATTGTGATGAATGATGATTTATTAAACCTGTAATTTGTGAATATGTTATTTACTATATTTGAAATAATGCTTTGTGAATTTTGGTATCTTGGTGACTTTGTTTTATAACTTATAACTTCTATGGTTTATAGTAAATTTTTAAATGAAGTTTCTAATTGGTAATAATTTAAAATTAAGTTTCCAAAATTTATATTTAATTTTCATATTATGTTTTAGTGCATTTATATAGTTATTGTAGAATTTTTAATATTATTTAATTCGATATTAATGAATGATCTCGCCATTACGACCATTGACGGTCGATGATTACCTGTTGCACTAGTTCACCAATATTCCTGGATCCTCCACTAATGGGATCAAATTTCAATTACTCTCATTTTTTACAATCAACTAGTCCGTCAACCTGATTCTTGTAATTCTATTTTATTTAAAATATATATTTAATTAACTTCATTTTTTTTCCGTATAAATAAGTTAATTTTTTTAATATAGCCCTATGTTAAATAATAATTTAAATAGGATTAGTTTATATGTATGGATAACAAGGAACACTAGATAAGCGCATATTAAAAAACTAAAAAATATATACATATATACTTTCAATAAGGAAAGTGAGAAATGATTTGCGACAAACAAAAAAGAAAATCAAGTCTACGAGACGAAAATAGCACGACGAATCCCAATAGAAATGAAAGATGATAATCATGCCACACGCTTTGACTATTTTACTTATTCTATAGCAACTTTACAACCTTTTAAATTGTAGAAATCAAAAAAGGAAACCAACCAATTTGTTTCGAAAACTCACCATCACCATCCCAAAACCATCCACCGCCATCCATGGTCTTTGACAACCATCATCGCCACCATCTAAGACCATCTCCTTTTTCTACATATGTTGTCGCCACCACCTCATTCTACAATCGTTACGACTCAAATTCTATTATGCCGTCACTGCCAGCACCTTTTACCACCACCACCTATTTCTTCTACCAACCCACTACCAAGATAATTCAAGTACATTTCTGCTTGTACAATTTGGGAGGTATGGTGGTGTACTTAAGAAATACTTTAGTCTCTTAGCTTATTTGTGGAAAGTATCCGATAATTAAACATGTGTGGACTTAGGCTAATTCTCAAGCCCTTTCTAGTAGGAAAAAATACATAACTACCATACTTATGCTTTCTAATTTAAGAAATTTGATGAAATCTTTCAAAAATCACTTGGTCATAATTTGTGACATCTGATAAAATTTTGTAACCTATATTTAATCAAATAAGAGTTTGATTGGAAGAGATTTTAATCCAATTAAAATTGAAAATATAGCCGTTATTGGGTCTCGCTCCTCTAATAAAAGTCAACAATAACGACTAGTTTTTTAATTTTAATCTGATTTTAACCTCTACCAAACAAGCTCTAAGTCACAATCACAATATGTAACCAATTTATGATTACCGTCACACACTAGTCACAAATCACACAAAGTCACAATCATAAAGACAAAATTTGTAGGCCATAATTGCATATTTAGTTGCAAATTGCATGTTTTATTAGGTCACAAATTATCCAATTAATTGATCACAATCATTCTTCTCACCCCCACCCCACTTCAAGACTGCATGCACCACCCAAAATCGTTGTCGCCATCATAAATCCATAACCACGCTCCGCTTAGCGCAATCCCCCTTTAGGGGGATTTTAGTGATAGATTCTATAGGATCTAGACTGCCTCCATGATCAACATACTGTTACCACTACCATCTTCACCTCAAAATAACATCGGATTACAATAAATTGCCATCGTGTACAGTTGATAGACAACGACACGATAGAGAGAGAAGCACAACAACAAAAAAAGTAAGCCATCGTAAACAACACTCTTCCACTAGGTGGGTGGGGTGGAGTGGAGTGGAGTGGAGTGCACCTGATTATTGGAAAAAAAAAATGTTTATACTTGATTATTGAAATGGGAAGTCATAAAATAGTTGTGGACTCCACCTCCTTTTGTAAAAGTTTGGTTAAGGATTTAGTTTAAGGCCTGACCGAACATAGGCTGACCCGTGACTTTACGAATTACTTTCTTAACTTCAAATATGAGTATTCATTTAGGCACGCATTATCGATGAACTGGCGTTACATTTTATAGTTTTGTGTTCTGCCATCATTTATTATGAACTAAATTCATTTTAGTTTGTGTAGCTTTTTAAGTAATACCACGCCATATTGAAAAGAGTAATGCTACATGTACATAACCATTTACATAATGGTTCACATAATAGCATGTGGCATGTGATGCAACCTTTAATTCAAATTTCACACTTACACATCAACAAGTGGATGATTGACATGTCAGTATTATGTGAATGATTATGTACACCTAGCATTATTCTATTGAAAAAGTTTTTTCTCAAAGCTTGGTCTAGGGTGTGTAAAATTTGCCCATGTCAAACATTGTGTTATCTAAGTTTAATGCATGTCGTGCCATGACCAAGCATAGAAAATTATGGTGTCGAGCAAGCCGAAGTAGGGCAATCATTTTAAAAATTTTGTTTCTATTAGAGTGTGTTTGATTGACTTTATATTTCGTGAAAAATGTCACTTTTTCACGAAAATTCATGTTTTGGGGGGTGTTTGATTGACAATTTTTTTTTAGTGATGTGACCATATTTTCCTTAAAAATAAGGAATATATTTTCTTTAGGGTTAGGTGATTTTATTTTTTAGATAATTCACTCTTTCTCTCTCTCTCTCTCCCTCTTTCATCTACCCACCAATAAAAAATAGATAAATATAACATTTTCTAAGATGAAAACTAAATCAATCAAACATATTTAATTAATAATTTTCATAAAAAAAGTAATTAACAATTGAATTGTCTAGAATTTTTTTTCTTTCCATACAAATTACATGGTTGCAATCAAATGTACCTTGAAGTTTTAGATGAAAACCTCAAATTCTATCTTTCAAGGACTTAGAATTTGAAATTTTTGGCCTAACTTACTGATGTAGTACATCACAACTAC